ATTATTTCTATTCAGTAATTGGTTAGTTATTTTGTTAATTAACATAAACTGTTTGAAATTCCTTAAATAAAATACTAACACTTCAACTTATTGGCGACGTTAGATCATCCAGAACTCACTTGATAAATGTCCTAGCTGTGGATTTTATGTTTTCGAGAATGTGTTGATCAGTTGACCTTGAGATTGCATTTCCCGCTCGGAAAATCCTTGACTGTTATTGGTTCTTGATATCGTTAGCAGTGCCGGAGACAATAGAATCAGCCTATCGTGTCACTGCATTATTTGTCTTCGGTCTAGTTTACCGAGTAAGGTAAACGAAAGTTAGGTAAGTAATAGTTTCAAGCACATCAGAACTAATACAATGAGTATCCATTTACTTAATTTCTTATATAACCATATTCAATGGTGTACATTAGTGATTTAATTCAAATTTAAAAATAACAAGCCATAGCCTGTAGAGTTAATCATGTCAGTAGTAAAGGAATTACTGATTGATAAGATTGATTTTTATAATCACATTATGTCAAATTGATTGTATCAACATTATGTACAGTACTGAATTTTAACTCAGTAGTCTAGTGTAATGAGATGTCAATTTTTGTGAGGCCTACTACATGTTCTGAGCTATAATAATTCGTTGTAATGACGGAATTTCTTTATTAGAAAGAAGCAGCGGTCCTGTATTGTATTTTATCATCTCCTAGCAAAACTTATGTTGATTAGTGAAATGATTTTTATTTACAAGCTAAAGTTAGTTCGTTTGTATATGAATGGTTTGCATAAAGAGTGTTTAACATGTAACTTTTCAAATGATAAATAGTTGGATGGGGATTTTCACATGTGATCCAAATGCTGAAATTGATTGATTTAAGAACAATTAGTACAGATTAACATACTTAACTCACAGCCTGATTTATGATGATAAGTGTGAGAATATTGCAACTGAGTATTCCTAGATTTGTCTAAATCAAATTTTACGTCATAAATAAACTAGCAGCAGACAATGATGGCGAAACGATTAATTTACACACACACACACACAAAATGTATCACATGAAAATTAAGCGTTCAATAAAGTGTAAAAAGCATTTACAATTTTATATGAACATAATAATGATAACAGGTTCAAATTAGTTAAATATACTTGAAAAAGAAATTTTTATGAGTTTAAATCTCAAAAAATTGTTTTATATTATCAATTAGGAATGAACGAAATGAACATAGAGTTTTGTACAAACAGGAAATCAACCTGTAATATTTATTCAAGAGAGAGAAATCCAATATGAGTAAGCAATGCTGTTATTAGGAAACGGGTGCTAGGTGAGGATTGCAAGTCAATAGATGAAGTATTGAAACTTAAGTTGAGGTGGTTGGGATATGTGTTGCGTTCACCTAACCACCGACTGCCTTGTCGAGCTATATTTTGCCGTGTAGGAGAACGTTGAAAGAAAGTTAGGGCCGGCCAAACTAAAACATGTCACAAATCCATGAAGTCACTTACAAGTGGACTGAGTCATGTAGGTAGGTGTCGACTACCTGGTTGGGGCCCTCAAGATAATAGTAATCGATGATTAGAGACCCTGAATGACATGGTTCAGAACCGTTTGCAATGGTGTAGGTGCACTCATTCTTCGTGTTTTGTCAAGTTCTAAGCTTCTGAATTCCTCATCACTTAATATTTCTCTTTTTAAGTTTACTTCACTAGATTCTACTTCTTAAATAACATCTTCGAAACCTAATCTCTCCTAATACCTTTACTACCTCTACTACTATGGGATTTGAATGGACAATGCGATCTCTCTGTGCTAATATGGTATGGCAACATGAACTGATGTATGTACGAAGTTCCACGTTGATATATACCAGCACACGAATGATCTAACTAAGCTTTAACTCATACTACTATCTTTCTCTATCCTACGTTGTAAAATCAATGCACTGACCAAAACATCTCTTAAATTGCCTATTGACCTCAAATTCATTAATCATACAAACCAGTTTCCTACATATTCTTTGAGTACACATCATAAATAAATAATTGTGAATAGTAATCCTATTATTTGATTTAAAATAATGTTTAGTGATATATTCCCACAAAAGGAAACTAATCCTAAGTATCACTTATTGTAGATTTTATCTACTTAATAATTGATCACTTAAATTTGATATTTTCCTTTTCAGTAGTCTTAATGAGTAGTATATATATATATATATATATATATATATATATATATATATATATTAAATGAGATGCCAATTTACAGATTAGTGATTCGATTAGGTACCAACAATTCAGTAAAAAATAAAAACTCGTTTAGTAATATCTCAATGATTCCAATTCTTATCATTCAGTCTAAATGTTTTTGAAAGTAGCAGTGAAATAGTTGATAACGCAAGAAGAGATTGTTCCATGAAAGTCAAAATGATTTCATCTTGATTCAGTAAATATTGACTAGAACTGGTACGGGTATGAGGGCGGATGTCACTTCCCGGCTGCCCACACCTTGGCCTTTTTATGGGTGGCATTTAAAGTGTTAGCTCTGTTCTTGTTTAAAAGGTCTTACAGCCGGAGACGGAAATCAGTGCTCTGCTCCTAAAAGCCCTTCGTTGGCACCCTTACCGACGGAAATCCGTGAGATAGGGTGAGGTGTGACACTATTAGGGTCGACCTTTTCTAACCCTTCCTTCCTTGTGAGGAGGCAGCATCGCTGCAGATGCTAGTTGTCCAAATGAAACACCCTACTTCTATCACACCTCTCTCTAGTCAGCAGTACGACGTCGCCCTCAGACCTTGAGTAGCTGCTTTTAGTCTCATCGTTCTCCAATCGACCTGCCCGCCTGACATGGTAGAACCTTCAGGAACATATGTTCCAGACAATATAGCTCGGTTGGATCATCACGATAGGCCAGCCCGACCACCACGTGTCAAGGTAACAGATACGGTCGGGTATTAATTAGAGCAAACAAACAAACTTAACACCGGATCAGATCTTGATCCTATAGTATAATCATGATAGTTTTAAATCACAGAGTCTGAATACTCGTTATCAATCAATACGTGATTGTAACTAATATCATCAAAAGGAATAATTTCGTCAAATACTCATCCATCATAAGATCACATATCAATTATTCTAAATATCATTTAAATTATACATACCTACCTAACAGGTCTATTTTAATTAATTGGTTTTATTGAGTTACAACATTTTAAATTTCAAACTGTTGGTCATATGACTTGATTTTAATCGTAATACTACAATGGTTTTACATAAAGTCCAAGTAATAACTGATTAATTTTCACTATCCTTAAATTCCGTTTGATCAAACTGCACGATTTTTCGAATTGTAGAAATTTTCACAAGTTTGATGCAGACCATGTTTTTCAAAGATCAGCAGAAGAAAACCCACTAATTTTTCGACTCATATTTCTTAATTCATAATATCTATCTGTATAAGGTAACTAACTAACTAGCTGAAAACATGAATGCCTTGTTTGATAGAAACCGTATACTGCTGATATAAATCTTTCTTATAGTAAACCCAGCTATACCTATTGCTTAGTATTCTCTGACAACAATAAACTCGACAGGTCGACAAATCAGAACACGGTTGAACATGGAAGAGATTATATTCCAAATAGCAAGGTTAAGTGGAAGTAAGAAGCCGAGGCAGGAACAGCGTTAGTAGCTTTGTAGTTTTTAAATGACAAGCTTCTGGAATATAATCCACGTGATCGACTAGCGCTGATCGGATTAGATGTAGCCAATCAGCGCGCAGCTAACACAGTCATGCTTTATTCCATCTGTGTCCCACTAACAACTGCAATGTATATAGCTCAGTGAAAAGGAAAAATAAGATGGGTGAAGATTTTCTCCACATTGATTTTTACTTCATACTCACTAATTGATTCGAATTTGTATAAAACTACAATTTAATCGACTCAAAACCCCACAACTTATCGTCTAAGACTAATCTATTAATAATGTGAAGAATAAGAATATTACAGAAGGAATAAATTTCTTACTGAATCTCTCTCTCTACCTAATAGAACTAACAATCAGTCTCAGTGAGATTGGGATTTGTGGACAAACCAATGAAATTTAACATGACAGATCTATCCATAATGTTATACAACATTTTGAAATGAAAGCTGATGTCAACTCGTGATGTGAACACTAACTTCTAATTCTAAATACCGATTTCTTACATTAATCCATAACCCACTTCACACACTAGTAAGCAGGCTTAACCAGTACTAGGATTAGCAAACCTATTAAGGAGATTTAATATTCTGTTTAATACTTCAGATGAAATCATCGTTTTATCCAACTTTGGTCGAATTTCATTAGAAAATTAAACTACTAAGCTTATAGAACTGGACATTTTGACAAACGCACATTTTAGGATCCGATATTTTTTGACTTAAATGCTAACATGGTATTCTTGCAAACTTAACTTGTTTACTTATGATTAAAATGAAGTAGAGTTACTGTTGGGGACGTTAGATCCCCAAAACTCATTTGATAAATGTCTTAATTTTGGATTTTATTCATGGGCGGCTGATCAGTTGACCTTCAGATCACATTTCCCACCAGGAAAATCCTTGGCTGTGATTGGTTGATGCGTTATTTTAGTGTGCTATTTTTTTTTACTGTCCCGATGACGTTTCTATGATGTATAAATAAACGCGATTTGTGTGCTTGAGTTCAGTGTGCTTGCTAGATGTTTGTAGAATACACTTTCTATGCTATATCAAGACTTTTTCGTTAGTTCCTTTGGAGCAATGGATCACAGTAGCCTACCATTTGTCACTTGTTCATTATCTCATTCTCATTTATCAACTATAAGCTGAACTCGTCATAATAGTAGTTTCAAGCATAAAACAATGATGAAATAGACAAAACAAATCCGATAACTTCTGTACAATTATTATTTTCCTTACAATAATATATGTAAACAGAAAAAAAACAAACATTTACACATATATACATACTAAGAAAAAATCAAAATTATTTACAATATATTTTTTTTGGACTCAATCAAATCTAACACTACTAAATAAGCAGCATATCATCATTCCAATATTTTCATCCATATTTATTACACATATTGTGGTGCGCACTCCTTATAAGTAGTATTATATGACGCGACTAAAAACGTCACGTCTAGCAGCAGAAGATGGGTGGGGAAGATCAACAAGATAGCAAGAAGAGTGCGAAAACACAATGGAATTTGTATGTGAAACGTATGAATAGTGAGTGAAATGTCAAACAATGGATTGATGTTTTGCAAATTAACAACGATTGACGATATATGGTTTTCCTATTATTTTACTGAGTAACTAACTCTGTAATTTTCGTTAAATATACAATTCGATTGCCCTCATACCTGTGTTCTCCTTCACTACAATATATGAAAATATTCATTCAAAAACAATTTAAGCTCGCGGTTCTTTCGGTACATTATTCCACCATGCATTCCAACATAATTGTAATGGTAATAAACTATTAGTGAATTTCTCATTTAAACGTAAATCAAAATTTACTGTATAACTTAAATAATTTAAATAATTATTAATTGGCAATAAAGGTAATAATAATTTGGGAAGAATATTTTGTAACAAATATTTTTGTTGTAAATCTTTTTCTTTTAATTTTATTGATTTCAATGTTGGTGTAATGAATGATTTGTGAATTAATTCATTACTTAATTGTGTAACACATTTAGCATGATAATGACCTAATGAAGCAATATGATGTGTTAATTGTTGAATAGATTTTTCATTGGATGTACTATCTATTGTGGTTGTGGTTGTGGTTGTTGTAGTTGAAGGATTATTATTGTTACGCAGAAAGCATAGTACATGTTCTTGGGTTAAATTATACTGAGAATAAACCAGAAAAAAAAGAAGGAATTTTTAGAAATAATAATAATAATAATAATAATAATCAATCTATTTACTAAATGATAGAAATAAAGAATAATCTATGAAGTTATATTGTGGTGCGAGCTACTTATAAGTAGTATATGACGTGAGTGTCAACGTAATGTCTGGCAGCAGAAGAGGATGGGGGAAGATCAACAAGAAAGGAAGAGTTAGAACATAATGGAATTTGTATGAAACGCATGAATAGTGACAATGGGTTGACGATGTTTTGCAACAGGAACAGTCCAGTTCGATGGATGATGAACTGATATTTTGCAAATTAACAACGGTTTACGATATGGTTTTCCGATTTTACTGAGTAACTCTGTAATTTTCGTTAAATATACAATTCGATTGCCCTCACCTGTGTTCTCGTTCACTACAATATGACATGATTATTAACATTGACAACTAGTACAACAGCATGACACATTGGTCAAGGAGGAATAGATCATTAGCCGTCTTCTCAAGGTGGTTTTATATTAGTGAGAGACAACAAGTATAGATAGGCAATTGACAGAAAGTGGATTTCATTTTACCTAGGTTAATAATGAATGTGAAAATGCCTTTGTGTCAGGACCAATTAAACTACTTAATCAATCGACAACAACGTAGAACGCCGTACGTACGTACATCAGTTCGCACACAGATGCAATGGTCAATTCAAATCCAATAGTAGTAGAGGTAGTAAAAGTATTAGAGGTAATCGGAGAAATTAGTGTTTGAAGATATTATTCGAGAAGTAGAATGGAGTGAAATAAACTTTAAAAAATAAAATGATGAGGAATTCAGAAGGTTAGGATTTGAGAGAATACAAAGAATGAATGCACCTGCGTGTTGGGGATGTTAGATCCCCAGAACTCGCTTGATAAATGCCTTAATTTTGGATTTCACGTTTGCGAGCATGGGCTGATCAGTTGACCTTGAGATCTGTGTATTTTAGTGTGACTGTTCCAAGGAGGTTTCTATGATGTATAAATAAACGAGAGTTGTGTGATTGCTGGGTGTTTGTAGAATATACTTTCTACGCTTATCAAGACTTCTGTTTTGCCGTTTTCGGATCAAGGCAGCCTACCTGGACGCTGTTTCATTGTTCCGTTCGCGTTTATCGACTAAGGTGAAAACGTAATAGCTTCAAGCATACCTAGTGACGAACCTAACACTGCGTTATTGCAATTTTGAGCCTTGTCATCCACAGTCTCTAGCCATCGATTACTATCACCTCGTGGTCCCCAACCAGATAGCCTATATCTACCAACATGACTCAGTCCACTTGTCAGTGACTTCATGGATTTGTGCCATGTTTTGGTTTGGCCGCCCCTAGCTTTCTTTTAACCTATTTTATACCGCAAAATATAGCTCGACGAGGCAGTTGTTGGTTAGACATTCGTAACACATGTCTCACCCACCTCAACTGATGAAGTTTCAATACTTCATCTTGACCTGCTATTCTTACCTAGGATCCGTTTCCTAACAACAAAAACTACTACTCGAGTTGTAAGCTTCATCGACTCGACACTTGATAGTCTAAGTCTTCTCCACCTCCTCCTCTTTAGTCGATCAGCTTAAAGTTAGGAAAGAATAGTAATCGTGACTCAATTATAACACCACAGAACACAAATCAATATACATTACACAAGAAAAACTAAAAAAACAACACCAGAAAGTGACGTCAGTTAATTAGATAGTTAACGCACAAAAACATGAAACAAATTATTTGTTTTAAGGAAATCCTGTCACAGTTATTGACCTTTTAAAGTTTAAGGTAAATCGTAATAAAAGGTGAGTGTAGATATTGAAATTGGACGAAGAAAGAAAAAGATGCTTTATTGACATCCTAAACAGTGAATCATTTCAAACGAATTACCATGGAACAAGGAAATAGTTCAATGATTGAAGCATTTGAGTCGTATTTCTCAAGTCATAAGTTCGAACCCTGTCCCACCTAAATCACTAGCTTTTGTACACTAAAAGACTGACAGCTTTTTCCTTTTTGGTATATACATCCAACTTCTCTAAAGAATACTAGGAGGTCAATAAACTGTACACGACAGATATGTGTAAACAATTCTCGAAGTAGGAATACCTAGTTGGTTTTTTTTTAAATTCCACAAAATGTATCATGATGCACTGACATTTATAAACAGTTTTTAGTAATTTACATGACAACAGTAGAAATTTGCATTACGGGGTTGTGAAGATTGTTAAGTTACACATTTTTGAAACCACGAATCGATCAATGTTAGACCACCATTAGAAACCTGGAAGCACTGGACGACCGTTTCGTCCTGGTATGGGACTCATCAGGAGTGCGCGTCCACGAATCTTGCACCCCGCCGGATTCGAACCCAGGACCTTCGGTACTGTGCGCAAACGCCCTAACCATTAGACCACTGAGCCGGTATCTGACGGTGTTAATGTCTAACTTGATCAAATTCACTGTGTATGAGGTTGCGCAACTCCGTGAATTTGATCAAGTTAGACATTAACACCGTCAGATACCGGCTCAGTGGTCTAACGGTTAGGGCGTTCGCACACAAAACCGAAGGTCCTGGGTTCGAACAGTAAAAATGCAAAATATGTTCACCTTGTCATAAAAATAAAGAAACATACTTGATTTAATAAATCCAAAGGAAATAATAGAACATTTTTATGTTTCGCTAATAAAACGGAACTCCGTAACATATTGACCATACCTTGAGCTCGTCCCAAATGATTAAGCAATGGATTGATTGAAGTCATTTCGAAACCTGAAATTGATAGATTCAATTAAAAAGACAACATAAATTACACATATAGTCAGAAAAAACAATAACCTCATGTTAAGAACTGTAATTTATGAATTATATAAACAATCGAAGGGAAACTGTTAGCAGGATACAGATGGATTAAGGCATGATTGCGTTAGCTGCACGCTGATTGGCTAATTCCTATCCAATCAGCGCCTGATTGATACTTGGAAAACACACTACAAGCTTCTCATGTAAAAACTATGAAGATACTAATGTTGTTCCTGCTTCGCCTTCGTTTCGGTTTCTTACTTCCATCTAACCTTGCAATTTAGAACAGAATTCGCTCCTCTATTCAACCATGTTCTGATTTGAGGACTTGTCGAGTGGATTGGTGTCCAAGAATAGTAAGCAATAGGAATAGCTGGGTTTTACTAAGAGAGAATTATGATAAAAACATTTGACCTATGTTTTTATTGCTAGTTGTTGTATCTGTTATCATCAAAAGTTTTATAAGTTGTCAGAAAAGCTAAATAAAAAAATTTTGGAAATCATGGAGCGTTTGATTAAATCGATATATTTATTTATTTAAACACAATTGTTGGTTCAAAGAGGCACTTAAATATTCATGTGAAAAACAAAATATTGGATTTGTGAATGGGCTGGAATACTATCCGGACGCCTAAACTGAAGCAAGTGGCCTCCTTGGAGGGCTAAAACCCCAGCCTTTGACCAAGAGGTCTGATTCACAAGGCAGTGAAGCGATGCTAGGAAATGCAGTCTCGAAGAAGCCGGTGAATGACAAACAGGTTCGCACGCCATTTGTTCACTCAGAATCCTGGAGCTTATGTGCACCATTGGCTTGGAATTAGGGTTCCCCGACCCCCCTCTATGAGTGGATTCTCAGTATCTACCAATCCGATTAAAACTTCAAATATTCGCTCTTTGTCCTGTCATTTTGTAAACATCCTTGACGGGGGAAGAAAGTGAGCATAACTTCCCTGTCAGTGGAAACATAAGTGCAGACATATGAGAACATTTTGGCAGAGAAAGCGGACTTTCCACGACTTTGGAAGCATTGACAACTTAACAACAACATTGGCTACCAAAACCAAAAGGTTTGGGTTGTGAAGTGACCCAATCACATTGTAGTTTGTGTACCAATATGTTGAGGCCACATGGCTTGTCTTAGCTTTCTGACAAACTAACTAACCTTTACTGCCTAACTTACAATCCACTCGTCTTTTGACACTGTCAACTATTCGCTGAACTAGCTTCACTGAGTACGTCAGATACGAGATTATTTTGTCTGCATTGTTCATCGAGTCTGATAGTTGATACATTCATCAAATGCATTGAGTTCGAGAGCTGCTTTGTCAACCGACGTCGGGCTAACCATTTTAGAAGGCTGTGTTGAACTCAGAATACAGCTCATTACTTTAATAGCCGGTGAGCTGACTCCATTATTTATGATGTTCGAGTATGCTTTGAAATAAATCTCCCCTTCAGACTCCGTAGATTACACTCAGGCGAACCAACTTTGTGCGACGGCAGTAATTAGAAACCAAATGCGGATGGGGTTGGATGAGTTTATTTTCAATCAATCGTTCATGCAGACAGACATGATAATGAGAAGCATACAAGCACAGTGAAGTGGGAAAGGCTAGTGAACCAACTCCGTCAAATAAAAGTAAGCTAGATATGCGATTGACGAAGTAAGCGATGCACACAGATACTCAAATAGAAACAACTAAGATAAAAGCGAATAGTTGAAAAGGTCATGCAGTAAAGGTTAGTTAGTTTGTCTGAAAGCTGGGACAAACCATGTGGGGGCTCAACATATTGGTACACAAATCACACAACATACACCAAAAACATCGTTTTTACAGTACTAAATTTTTCTTGTAATCAGATTTTAGTAACATAAAACAAGACCGAGAAAACTTATTATATTTATTCGCAAATGACTTGTAAAAGGCATTGAATCTAATCAATAAAAACAGTCTGCAGCTAATTTGCACGGAAGTTGTATACAGTAATTTTTACTTTGATAAACCCTATTCTACTCATTAAAGTGTACAATCTTATCTTTTAGTGATACGATATTCTAATGATTGATGATAGATTGTCTGTCACATAGTCATCATGCCTTGACGATTAAAAGTCAGTCAAATGCAACGTAGAACTTCGTACGTAAGTACATCAGTTCAAGTTGCTATACCACATCAGCACAGAGATATAGTTGTAAATTCAAATCCAATAGTAGTAGACGTAGTAAAGGTATTAGAAGTAATCGGAGAGCTTAAGATTAGAAGATATTATTCAAGAAATATGATTCAGTGAGATAAGTTTAGAAAGACAAAACTAGAGGTGTTGAAAAATCCAGAAGATTAGGATTTGAGAGAACATAAAGAATAAATGCACAGGCGCCATTGCAAACGGTTTTGAGCCATGTCATTCAGGGTCTCTAACCATCGATTATTATCATCTCGCGCACCCCAACCAGGTAGTCGACAACTACCGATATGACTCAGTCCACTTGTCAATGACTTCATGGATTGCTGCCATGTTTTGGTCTGGCTGCCCCTAGCTTTCTTCCAATCTACTCCTACACTGCAAAACATAGCTTGACAGGGCATTCGGTGGTTAGGCATTCGTAACACATGTCCCAACCACCTCAACTGATGAAGTTTCATTACTTCACCTATTGATCTTCCATTCTTACCTAGCACCCGTTTCCTAATAACAGCATTGCTCACTTGGGAGTTTATAAATATGTCAAACGAACCAGTTTACAAAAGCATTCTATTTAGATAAAATGTATGAGTTTAGTAAAATTTCGAACCTGTGGTTAAAAAAAAACAACAAACCCATCTGATGGAAAACAATAAATTACCATATGCTTCAGATAGTAAACAATGAATCGGAACATAAGCATCATCAAAATATGATTCTGCTGCTTTGCATGTAGGAAAAGAGAAACTATTGAAATATCGTTCCTGTTCAAAGAATTTATAAAATTAAAAATATTAACAAACGAAAAAAAATAGAAGATACAAACCCTTGAATTGATTAGTTGATAGAAACGTTGTTTCGATAATGTTAGACCTGAAACTGACTAATTAAGTGATATATATATATTAGGGGCAATGATTAGAATGCTACTTCTTTAAGCTCACGCTCAAGAGGAGTATGATATGGTGTGGAATTATTGGAATTATCATCAAATAGATATTCAATAATATCTCTCCAAAATTGAAACCGGTATTTAGCTTGCGCCAAATTCTCCGATCGATCACATATCTTAGAAATGTATGCAAAAAAATAAAGATAAATAAAATACCTGAGCTAGTTCCACGTTGAAAGCTCTTAAAGCCAAAGCAAAATTACGTCTTGAATCAGGAAGCAACAATGAACATAGATAATTTTCATAATCATACTTTCTATTATATCATAACGCGATAAAAAAAACGAACTGACATACTGAACAACAGTGAGACAGTATGGATTTGTTTTTGTAGTTACAAAACGAATCCTATTTATAGGAATAAACAAGCCGGATTAGGAATACAAAGTTGATTGCATAACAAATAATGTACATTATTTTTTTATTTAAACAAAAAACCACTACTTATTTTAAGAAACCAACTAATTCATAAAAAAAAACGGAAAAGTATGATTTCTATGATTTTTAGATAAGTATGACTACTATTTTTGTGTACCGCATTTAGTAACACCAGCAAGTTCAATATTAATTGGTAAGGTCATAGCTTGGAATTACTTGCAGTGGTGGTTTATATCTATCAAACACATTCTATTGCACTACACACATTTTGGTGCATTTCTATTGACTTTTATGATTGTTAATTGGTTTCTCTATTTTCCCTGCCTCGACAAGCTATGTTTTGTAGTGTAGCAGTAGATTGGAAGAAATCTAGGGGCGGACAAACCAAAACATGGCAGAAATCCATCAAGTCATTGACAAGTGCACTGAGTCATGTCGATAGTTGTCGACTACCTGGTTGGGATCCGCGAGATGATAATAATCGATGGTTAGATACCGTGAATGACATGGCTCAAAACCGTTTGCAATTGTGCCGGTGCATTTATTCTTTATGTTCTCTCAAATCCTAATCTTCTAAATTCTTCAACACCTCTACATTTGACTTTCTAAACTTTTCTCACTGAATCATATTTCTTGAATAATATCTTCTAATCCTAACCTCTCCGATTATTCCTAATACCTTAACTACCTCTCCGACTTTTGGATTTGAATTGACAATTATATCTCTGTGCTGATGTGGTATGGCAACATGAACTGATGTACTTACGTACGAAGTTCTACGTTGCATCTGACTGACTGACTGTAGATTATGGGAACTTACCGAAAAAATTGACCTAGATTTTACACTTGATAGAATTAGTTAGGAACACAAAACAGTTTATGCATGTCACTTAAAGGCTTCTATATAAAGTTTAGTTCGATGACAGCGCAACTGGACACCCGTCTACCACACGACACTGCGGGACGAGAGAAATCTGCATTATTTGGCATTTATTGACATAGTAAAACTCTCTAGATCAAATCCGATAGATCACGAAATAAGGTGATTTGGAACGACAACCTGAATAACTCGGAATAAAACTGCGAACTCCAATTTGTAGATCTATTTTATCAGAAACTTTCTGATAATAGTGCGATATTCTCCTGGAAAAAACGAAAACTATCCAGCAGTTCAATCGTAAGACCCAGTGAGTACAGAAGTGATAGGTGTGCAGGAAGTGTTTAAACAATAATCGTATCCGATAATTAAGACTGTATGCTATTTGTTTGTAATACATCAGTAGTAACCAACTCCGTCAGGAGTCTTTTTGAGGATTACTACCAGCCCCAAGCCCAGGTAATGAAGGAGGGACGGACTTGAGATGAGTAATTTCAGCTCTTAAAAAAGGCTTTGCTTAGAAAATCTTAACTGCAAGAAATCACTTAAACTTTGAGCTAAGAGTTAGATCGTCATCATTTAGAATAGTTATGTAGCCTTATGATGAGAGCCATGATCCTCGACAAGTAACGAGGCCGGCGCTCCTATTGATAGCGACAACGTAGGTTCATGGAATGTCCGTAGTGTAAGAGACCGGGAAGAATGTAGCTGTGGAAAAGAAAAGATACAGCTTGATGGAGTTTGGAATAAATGAAACCCATTGGACAGTAACTGAACAGAAAAGATTAGCTTCGTAAGAGATGCTGTTGTCCTTCAACAATGAAGAAGGAAACGGTTCGCACACACAACGTTGCACTGATTCTATTCAAAGAAGAACGAAATATCATGGTAACACGATCATCAACCCATCCTTCAAACCAAATAAGGATGAATTATAATGAATGTCATCCAGTACTGTGAACTCAATGATAATAGCAACGAAGACGATGAATATCAGAGGGCACAGCTCTGATCGTATAGAATTTTCCAAGAACCGAGTTGACTATGCTGATAGGAGACCTGGACGCCAAGGTCAGAACGAAAGACAGTGAGTATGAAGATGATATAGTCAAGACACAGGCGGAATACACAGAAGTAAACAACTAAGTGAAGATGAGCATTAGACCTGAAATGAGGACATGTGTAAAAGAATAAGCTAAGTCAGTGGCATCTGAAGTACTGAAGTCAGACATAGGAGTAACTGCAAACATGCTCCATGTTCCCTCCAGAAGATTTGGTAGGAAGAACAAGTATAAGAAAAATAAAATGAAGGATACCTAGTCGGAATACCAAAGATAGGTCTTAGTGAGTGTGAGAAATGCAGAGATATCACACTTTCATTAGTACCAGGAAGAAGCCCTAACCCAGTGTTGTTGAAAAAAAAATTCCGTAGATATATGTAAAGATCGGTCGTATTCCGACCGGAACGCAACACTACCGACAACTGTTTAACAACCAACTAAATGTATAGAAACTCCCTTGACTATGAGAGAGGATTTGCAACTGTGCACAGTAGAAACTCAAAGAACTTTCTTCGACAATATGATGTACCTGAGAAGATTCTCACCCCTATCAGAAATTCTTAGTGGACTTCATTGCAAACATGCATGGGGGGGTAGCTCAAATTTATTCCTAATAAAGACTGATTCAACAAAAGGCTTCCCACTAACACCTTTTCTCCTTCTTCGGATGGTTGATTGAATTATGAAAACATCAACACCTGAGGAATACAGTAGAGAGCTTGGATACAGATGGGCAATCTGGGGTTCGCATTTGATCTAAGTCTTCTATCCTACACACAATGAAATATTTAGATGGAAATGATCAGTTTCGTAGCATTCTCTTCATCTATAAGTAAACTAGTCATATATACAAAAAATTACAATCCGTCAGTGCATAATAGAGCACTAAAGATGAAATCATAAACTAACACAAATCCATGTCAGGACTTACATGATAACTAACTGTAGTAAAAACTATATCTTGGAGTAATTACTGCTGTGAAGTGCAGCGTAACAATAAAAGCGTTGAGAGTAAAACATACGGACGACCCGAGGTGACCTCAACCAAGGCTATTCTAAGCCGCTAGAACTAAGAATCCAATATCCAATCTTCAATATCTTTTTCACGAGCTAGTATAAATCATTTGGTTTCTTTGCCCTCTATTCCTTTTCTTTCGATACGGTTCCAGGTATTTGGTGGTGTCCATTAGATGGGGGTCTAGCCACTCGACTGACTGATTTTAGTCAGTTGTTTATGAGTTTGTATGTTCCGTGATCTGGGTGAATACGTTTGTTTCAGGGCAGTAGAGTTTCCGGATACCAGCAGCTCTCACATTACCAGATTGGAAATCAGTTAGTTGCAATGTGTAGAATAATAGAGAGAAAATTGTAACGCTAATAAGAAGACTTCAGAACCAAGTAATATACAGATAATTTAGTTTATTAACTGGTAATGAAGATTCTGCTGGAGGATCGTACTGTAAGCAAGGGAGAGGAAACACAGGTAATAGGTGAGATTGAATTGGGTTAAAAATCTGAGGAGATGGCAATGATAACAACTAGTAGGTCTCGGTACACGCATCATGCACAGCCGGTCCACGGGGGAGATAATAATCCGTATGTGAGTAAGTGTTAATCAAGTCTCTTCTCAAATCTGTTCAATAAAGAGACAGTGCCCATCTCAGCTGGGAGTTACATAGACTCTTAATGAGAAAAAGTGTGCACGAGCCAGAATATTCGCTCTTTGATGTGTAGAATCTATTTTGAATGTTTTGTTTTTGGAAAATCCCACCATGTATATATATTTGTGTTATGACATGACTGACTCTTTCTGTTGACATTTTGGTACTCCATTTGATTCCATTTTGAGATTTTATCATTGTATATTGTTATTATTTCTATATCTTGTAATTATATTGAAGTTTTTATGTTTCGTTCTGAACTATACATATGTTTTTTAAATTTGATATTTAATATGGCTACAACCATATTTGGATTCGATACTCCAGTAGTAATGGACTGGAAGCACTTATTCTTCTAGAAACGGATACCCATTGTGGTACATGGAAACTCGAAGGTGTAATATCGTTTTGGTAATTGTCTGCATTTCCATATTTAATAAATTAGAACAGTTTTCTCCCAGAATTATCGTGTTTTTGGTTCCGGACTGGGTGAACGCGTATAAACCTACACTATTCGAGACGGAGTGAACTGCTAGAATAGAAAATTCAATTATAGATGTTCAAGTTTTCGAGGATTTCCTTCACATAAAGTGAAGAGTCGCATTGCCTTGACTGGACCCCTTACACAGTTCAGGCTTTTGTTTAGGCTTTCTGTGGCTCTGAGGAGACATTGGGGAGTGGACTTCCGTTGAGGGTGTAAGTCGTTTGAGTCAACTTGGGCAGAATGTAAATGACTCGACACTTCGTCTGGTTCAGTTTTAACCGTTTCTCACTGCCCATTCCCCAATGGATATAGGGTCCTTTGGAAGCTCAGCCGAATCTTCTGCGCCTAAAATTGACCTTCGGATCATCACATTGTCTGCGTAGACCAATGCCGGTGAGCTAACCGTGCCTAACAGGTCGTTAATAACTATCGGTAAGAGAAAAGGACCTACGATGGTCCTCCGTGAAACTCCTGCTGTTGAGACTCGCCAACTCGCATGCACTCTATTCACCTTGGTACGAAACTTTCTATTCTCAAAGTAGTTTCTGAGACAACATACAAGTAGGTCTGTGAAGCCCATTTCCGTAACCTTCACGACTAGGTGTGATCAGGGTACTGTGTCGAAGGCTTTTGCAAAGTCCAAGAATTTTACGCGCACCTGTATTTTTCGGTCCCATGCTATGAGAAGATTGGATGCACACGATCTGACTTTCCGAAATATGTGTTGAGCTTCATGGAGTATTTTGTTCTAATCCATGGACTCCATCATTTGTTCGTTCACCAGCCAATACGCCAAATCTTTTTTACGAGGTAGAATAAACCAACAGGTTTCGTTGCACTTAATTCTTGTTCTTTTTGCAGGGTTTCAGGTATCTGGTGTCAAGTGAAATCCACTTATCTTCTGTAAGTATGAGAACGGTCATCATTTTTATATGTTCAGTAGATACAATACATCTTCCATAATTTTTATGAACTGGATAATGACACAGTTAGTGTTTTTCGATAGTTCTCTGGATTTTCAGATGTTCTTCAACTGTAGAAATGCTATCCCTTACTTTGCTAACCCGTGCCTTCATATTTTCGTCAGATCAAGCCTGCTTATCAATGGTGCTACCTAAAGAATGTAAAGATTTCTACATCCTCCTAACATTCTCCGTCAAGGCAGCGCACACTATGGTTTCATCTTTCTAATATTTGTCGCTAGTATCCATGCTTTCTACTGGGAGCAGTAGTAACCTACCAAGCATCTAGGTCCTAGAAAGGTGACAAACACAAAGGACCTACTGTGCCTGATATCCCTCCTTAGTGCACAATGGTTTAGTCTGATATTTGTTTAAACCAAATGTAATACCGTTTAAATGAAACTAGCTGTCCAAGTTACGTGTTAAAGTGCTCGTAGTTAATCATACATATGATACAGTTATGTAATTCCTTACTTTGTTTACACACCGCATTTCTAGTTCGCTGGTAGTGAATTTCGTGTTGTCCCGTGAGACTTTGAGCCTATTTTCCCTCCAGGAATCGCAAAACATGACCTATTACAACCATCGTAAGGACTTCTACGCAAAAATAGTTACTGAGTATCAGAAATGACAGTGGGTTACACAAAACATGGTTGATTCAGCTAAACTGTTTCAAGTACTACCACAGTTAATTTGAGAATTTTCTTGGTTATATTTTCTGTTACAAGATATACTGGCCATTGGCACATAGCGGTAATATTACCGGCAAAAAATTATAAATAATTCTGAAGAAACTAGAATGTTCATTAGGAAGGTTGACGGGCTTTTTGTAAGAGTTATGTCAGCTGTTGACTAACTGTCGAAAATTATTGTAAGTAAAGTTCAGAATTGTCTGTAACAGGGAGTTATAGGTTTGGTGTATAACTTGCTCCTTGGCGGCGTCCTCTGGAACACAGATTTTACAGGCTTCAGATAAAACAAATATGGATTTCTCAAAAATATCTGAAGTATTATTTAAGGCGTAGGAAGAAGTGCTGGGTGTTTTCGGTGTTTTATCATGATGGCGATGAAAAAGAGAAGGAAAGGGAAGTGAGCTGAAAACCAAAAAAAGGATATTTGTCATTTGATTTTTTTCTGGCAATGATGTATATTCACTTAAAATAATTTTTTATTCCATCATTAGCTTCCCAACTATATTTATTTAGCTTTATGAACACACGTCATCAGTACAGAAACGAATTTATAAAGGACTGTTTGAATAGAGAACATTCAAAATACTGTAACCCTCGGGCGTACTGACTCTCAAAATCTTTCTAGCAAAATTGAAAACATGTATTCACTTACGACCTCAAACATGTAACATCCTTGCACCTTTTATTCAGTTAATTACTAGGATTGTGTTGAGAAAACTACAGAGATATAATTCAAACAATTCAGAGAACTGACAGAAAATTCTTGTGAAGACAGATTCCGGTTCCAAGCTATATTTGAGCTAAGCTGCAATAAAGTACGGGGCAACAGAATATGGATTTACAACATACTAAATACTCTTTTTCGCCTAAACAAGATAGATTGACAAAGTTTCACTATTATAAGTTACAAGACAAGATTTGAGAAAAATAAACGTTATTGTACTCGTTTTGTTTTAACTGTACCAAAAACACTTCTGCTAATTCTTGCGTGCAACGTTCTCTTCGCGTTGTGGCAATTTTTCTAATTGCTCTGCTCCCGATGTAATTCCTACTGCCTCCTTCAATAAAATCTTGGTACGTGGATTCGCTTTGATATGAATGACGGGACCGTATGGAACATTTAGTGGTGATCATAGTCAATCTGGTATCTTGACTCGCTCACTAAAAGTGAATAACACAGTAGATAGAATATGCCCTGAACAGATACCAATTATTGCAAAAAGTTATCCACTTATTTACTTAGTTCTGAAATCTTATTATCGTTACAATTTTCTCTCTATTATTCTACACATTGCAACTAACTGATTTCCAATCTGGTAATGTGAGAGCTGCTGGTATCCGGAAACTCTACTGCCCTGAAACAAACGTATTCACCCAGATCACGGAACATACAAACTCATAAACAACTGCCAACTGACTAAAATCAGTCAGTCGAGTGGCTAGACCCCCATCTAATGGACACCACCAAATACCTGGAACCGTATCGAAAGAAAAGGAATAGAGGGCAAAGAAACCAAATGATTTATACTAGCTCGTGAAAAAGATATTGAAGATTGGATATTGGGTAGCACTTCTTTTCATAAGGGTTTAGTACTATTTGGAATTCTGACTCAGCTGCCGCGACCATAGACCTTAGGGACATAAATTTAATGGGAAACACTCAAACCCAGAAGTCATATCACAGTTAATTAATATTTCCTTCGGAAATAGCGATGTCGGGTGGCTGGGCGGTCATGTATGATAATATGGAGGATCTGAAATCGTTTCGTATTATGAAGAAGTGAGCGCCAATTAAATCGGTTTATTCAAGCTTGGTACCAAGACATTAGAAGCTGCTAAAAGCATTGTCATCGGTCACATGGCGTAAATATTAGAAAGAAAAGTTATAAAAGGTTAAGAAAGACAAAAACAAACAATAAAATTAATGAATCTGAAACATAACATTCGTTTAACTGTGTTGTAACCACGTCAACGAGCGCGGACATTTCAGTCAATTGCGATGTTGATTCCTAATAAGCAAATGACTGTTAAGGAAAGAAAACATGATTATCTTTACGGTATCCGTTGAGGCTTATTAATATTATGAATTTTCGTAGATCCATTGTACAGTCTTTCGAGCGCAGCTGACCATAAACGCGTTATGGCAAAAAATCAAACAGACGTATCTAAATTGGAAAAGTTGTTTTCTTTTGACAATCTGTTTTGTGAAATACCTGTATATCGTTCTTATATGTATCGCCTTAACCAGAACGATCCTGTTCCTATGTCTGTGTCTAGACAATTTCGCCCTGTAGATGTTTGCAAAGAGTTAGTCAAAATGTAAGAATTTTAATACTTTTACTCCCAAAAAAAGTCAACTAAGAAAAGGTGAAGGTCCTATGGACGGTCATATATTTGAGGGTATGGATCGGTGGAAATATTTCACTTATAGTACATCATCTCTCTGTCCATACGTGAGTGAAATTAAATATTATTATTATTAATTATCATTCATGTTAGTGTATATACAATAATAATGAGCTTGTTTTTAACTGACATCGTTTGTTAGAAGAACTTAATTGTTCTAAACTGTCCATTAAAAAGTGAATATATTTAAGTTCTCATAAACGCAAGTGATTCACTTTCTACTCATTTTGAGTGTCCCAATCCAAAAATTGTTGTTCTGTCTAAGAAAGAGTACACTATTTGACTGATGAATAATATAATGCCTAACAACTAGCACCTATAGTTTTGCTCAAACTGTGTAAAAAAACGCATCGCAGCAATAGGAAACCTTAAAAGAAGTTAACATTATGCATTGAAAAAAACTAAGAGTAGCTTGAAAACCTACTACCACTACTTGTTCAACACACTAAGGCTCAAGGCATAAAATGATTTTAATTGGTTATTGAATAAAAGAAAGTGATGTTCCAAATTGTATGACTTTTAATTCCTTTTACGGACCATAATGAAAGAGTACGAATAACAATAACGGGTTTGATATGAAAAACTAGTAAATCAAGAATTACAAATGATAAGAAACAAGTATTTAAAAGGATACAAACGGATACGTATCAGGGATATGAGATTGTGTGATGAAAAATTACAGATGAAGTTGATTTTTATGGGGAAAACTAGTCAAATTGATGTTTAAGAACACCAACTAAGAAACACCCTCTAAATGTGTTCAAAAATTGAGGGAGAAAAAAAGCTGTGTACCGAAGCATATTTAAGTTGTTAAGCAATAGTTAATACAACTTATATCTTTATAAGCAAGTTTAAAAGTCACTCTAACTGACATTTTACAGTCATTAACAAATATTTTATGAATGGAATGAAATTATGCAAAGTTTGAATATTACTTACCATTACTTACAATTCAAATCTTAATAAACTCTCTTTTCAACTCCGCCATATCTATGACAAGAATGGCTTTTGTTATAGCCTAAATTTTCGTTTTTCTACACAAGGCAATACAATCTAAAGTCAAAAATCTATGAAATTTATTCCCGAGATTTTTAATTTCCCTTGGCGAAAATATATCAAACAAAAGACCTAAGAAATGACAGAGTAGATTTCAAATCTAAGAAATAAATCTGTTTAGATACGATGTATCTAAGCATTTGATAAGCAGAAAAGTCTCTTCTTCCTGAAAGAATGGTACCTTTATCTATTTACTAAACTTTAATTTACATTAAGTCATAAAAATGTAATATACTACTGATTCGTTGTAAATGTTTTTGGATGTTTCAAAGCAGATCCAAACCAAATATAAGTTAACGGGTTTTAGTTTTAATTAACACCTGATATTATTATTATTATTAGCCTCGATTGGCTACCAAATATCTTCCTAGTTATTATGTGGGATTTATGATAGGATGTTAGTTTTGACAATGTCTTCTGAACTGATTCACTTATAAATACATCAAAATGTGTAAGAACCAGTAATATCAGAAGAAGTTAGTAAACATATTCATACAAAATGTCAGATTTGAGAAAGCACGTTGGCAGAGCGCACCAAATTTCAGAAAATATCTAGTGTCCATCATTGCAATGGTAACACTGCCGTCAGAACCAGATAACTCAACTACACGGCAAAATACTGTAAGACGCAGCTTGAATTCTAACTAAGAAGAACTAGTACTTAGTAGAAATACCATTATTTATTAACATTTCTACTTAAATTAAAGTTACAGTGTCATTAAGTGATTAAGTGATTTTTCACAGCTGATACTTCCATATTAAAAGATTATCAAATAAGACTATTATGATTTAATTCAAGAATAATTCAAAATTTGGAGTAAAAATTTATCTACATTACTGACCATTTGCATGGAATTCTAATTTCTACTTTAAATTCTTTCTTAAAAATGTGCTTTCTTGGAAGAAATGCAGTTGTACTTTTTTGTTATCAAAAATTTCAAATCTGACCACTTAATTAAATACTTTAATAGTGTATTCCAACGCCTCAAAAGTTTAATGGTATTGTAGTGAAGGAGAACACAGGTGGGGCAACCGAATTGTATTTAACGAAAATTACAGAGTTACTCAGTAAAATCGGAAAGCCATATCGTAAATCGTTAATTTGCAAAATATCAGTCCATCATATCGAACTGGACTGTTCCTGTTGCAAAACATCAATCCATTGTCACTATTCATGCGTTTCATACAAATTCCATTGTTTTATAACTCTTCCTTTCTTGATCTTCCCCCATCTTCTGCTGCCAGACATTACGTTGACACTCACGTCATGTACTACTTATAAGTAGCTCGCACCACAGTATAAGTTACTTTGGGGAAAGATTTAAATGTAGTTTCACTGCTTATTGACATATGAAGTAGTATTCAAATGATATCCAAATCTGAAAAAGGACATTTTCCAAGAAAGCAGTTTTGATAGTAAATAATGACTTATGCGCTTTTTTCTATTAGATTTCAATAACAATTATCATGATGCGATTTTCTTCATATTCTAGCCTTCAGGAGATCCAAAAAGTCTAGATATTACGTTGAATGCTTTAAGAGCAAATCAAAATATTACACAAGAAGAGTTAACACCAAAACCACCTGTCTATGTATCACGTCATGTACAAACAATGTATCGTGATTCTGAGGCACAAACTGATCCATACTCTCCACCATATGTTATCATCAATCCAGGTGAAAATCCGGAAGTTTTAAAATTAACTTCATTCACTTATGGACATGGACTTCCGGCTGGTTTATTTGAAGTTGAAAAAATTGAACGTGATAGGCAACGACGAGAAATCGAAGAAAATTTACCACCGTTTAGAGAAATTGCAGATAATCCAGCACAAATTGCCAAACGACGTAAAATTTTGGAAAGTTTAGAAAATCGTGAATGGTACTATAGAGAAAAAGAAGTTGAAGCGTAAGTCAGTCAGTTAGTTAGTTTATCATTAATAATCTTTTCTAGTTATGTAATTTGTGGCTGAAGAATTGGCTTTAAAAGCAATATTTGGTCTTTACTAACAGTGGAATATGGGCCTCGGGTTTCATCCTATTTCGAGGTCGTCAGCTGGAAGTACCTTAGTTGATGTTTAATCCAGAACTAGAACCCAGTACTATCCGTTTCAAGCGCCACAGCGTAATCTACTTAACCACTAAGTCCGGATAGCCACCAACATGTGCAATAGAGAGAAGTGACAAGTGGAATGTTTCTCTACCATTATCCGGTACTCATCAAAAGTAGCTCGTCAGGATTCAGGACGAAGCAAGTCCTTGTTCATTGACTGATACTAATTTTACAATCATATTGCTTTGATATAAGACTTGGCTGTAATCTAAGGTTATTAGTTCTAGGTGTTACCTATTGTAAATTTGGCTTGAATTCAATATTTATGACTTCCATATTAAACAATCAACTACCTGACTCACTGCAGTAGTCGAACGATTAAAAATTCATTGTGAGAACTAAGTATTCTTGAGTTAGATTGCACGATGGATCGATATATATCATGTGGCTAGTAAGAGCTAAACATGAGAGAACTAATTATCTGAAAATTTTTCTGTTATTTCTCAATGAAAGCTATTTTCATTGGATACTTTGTTTGTGGGAGAACACAATGAATGAATGCACCTGCGCCATTGTAAACGGTTTCAAGTCATGTCATTCAAGGTCTCTAACCATCGATTACTATCATCTCGCAGGCCCCAATGAGGTAGTCGACACCTACCAACATGACTCAGTGCACTTGTCAGTGACTTCGTGGATGTGTGACATGTTTTAGTTTGGCCATCCCTGGCTTTCTTCCAACCTACTCCTACACCATAAAACATAGCTCGACGAGGCAGTCAGTAGTTAGGCATACGCAACCCATGTCCCAACCACCTCAACTGATGAATTTTCAATACTTCGTCTATTGATCTGTCATCCTTACCTCGTCTCCTAATGGCAGCACTGCTTACTCGGGTGTCCCACGATACACGAACAATGCTTCGAAGACACCCGTTATCGAAAACCAGCAACCAACGAATATCTTCCACTTTTACTGGCCATGTTTCACAGCCATAAAGTAGGATTGAGCGAACTACTGCGCAGTGCACTCGTCCTTTAGTCAGCAAACGGATATCTCGCCCACGCCATAAGTGATGTAGGTTGGCAAAAGCCAATTGAGCCTTCTAAATCTGTGCTGAGATTTTTTCACACACCAGGTGATCAGCACTGATAAGACTCTTAAGATAAATAAACCGGTCAACATGCTTAACTGTTTCACTCCCTATCACTAGTTCAGGTACCGACACAAGCCAATCCTGAAGCAAGATTTTGCTCTTCAACGGTGAGAATCGCATCCCGAACATGCTTGCACTATTGATTAGGGTAGTCAGGAGACGCTGCGTTTCCGCCGAATAGAACTAAGTCATCGGCATATTCTAAGTCAACCAGTGTATCACCTGGTAGAATGTCTACTCCTGAAAGTTCAGACGAAGATAATGTTATATCTTGAAGCATATCTATGACAAAATTAAACAACAATAGAGAAAGTGGACATCCCTGACTAACACCACTTGAAGTAATCAATTCTGATGACAGTTCTCCATAAGCTCTCACTCGATCTATAGTGTTCTAGTAGAAACATTGAGGATTTGATAGACATTAAATAATTACAAAATAATTGTATGTGAAATATACTTTAATGTTGTCTAGATCGTTGACATCAGAATGTTTGGTCAACAAAACAAAAGCAAACTGAAACATGCGTAACATCAAGGTCAGTAATCTGTAAATGAACTAATCTATAGTTAAATTGTTCGCGAAGTCACACTATGATTATTCGGTTAAAGATTTCGATGACAATCAAACAACGCAATCGGTCTGGTTCAATGTTCAATATATCCAACTCCATGCTTAAGATGGATTCATGTTTACTTACTTCAAATTAATTAAAACTAAAAGTTTAGCAACCGTACATTGACTCAATACTGGTTTAGTTCTTTGGTAGGGCTGTAGATACTTACTGCTGAATGGTACCAGACTATTAAAAAGAAGTTGATCAGTAATTCTTAATTTTCAACGGTCCAACACTTGACACCAAAGAATCTTGTTATTACTTCTCATTAGGAGGTAGACAGTAAATACCTTAGTGCATAAAAGGTCATTCTGACGATCTACATCACGTCAGTTTGAATCCAACCTCCATACAATTTCGTCTTAAAGTTAGTCACCACTTTCAAATATATGCTTCAGTCTATCGGTGGCTAAACAGACTTCAAGTAACGACAATAATTCAGCGAAAAACACTATTTTCGAAGCTGTCCTTTTCTGACTATACAATTCTATTATTTATGGTTAAGATGCAATGTTATATCACTAGAGAAAATTATCAAAGATTGTCAAACATTTTCAAGTATAAAATATCATATTCTATAAAATGTAGGAGTACTTCGTAATGCAACAAATAAATCAAAGATTTTTCAAACGATTAGTACAAGTCAGAAACTTATCTTTTCCTAATACTTGTTTGAGTGGGATAATTACCGAATTAAAAAGTTCTCAGCGAACATCAAAGTCTTTTTTTTCCCGTAATTCTACTGTCTCATATCCATTCTGAACTCGATCTTCATGCATAAAACTTTCTTTGGAGTTAGTTACAGAACTAATGATATTTTCATCCTCTTGATACAAATGTACAAATTTCTTAGTTGAATCAATCCTAGTTTACTTTTCCCCGTTAATTTTCCCTCTTACACAGGATACAAGAAGTTCGGCTAACAGTAATCACTCAACTTTTACGTAAACGTGAACAACGTAAAGAAGAAGAGATATCTAAACGATTAGATCAAAATTGGAGAGAATTATGTGCACAAAAAGATGCAAAATGTAAAGCTATAAAATATCGTTATATTGAAGGTAATCAATCTTATTTGATCTATTTAAGATTAAAATGTTGCACAAATAACAATGACATTTTCACACATTGGAATCAATCAATCAATAATTGTTAGATCAACATTGGAAAGCTAGAATCACTGGACGGCCGTTTAGTCCTGGTATGGGACTCATCAACAGTAAGCATCCACGACTCCTGCACCTCACATGCTGGATTCGAACCCAGGACCTTCAGTCCGATAGCAGGAAAAAACGGACATCCAGTGCTCTCGGGTTTCCAATGGTGGTCTAACACAATGATTGATTAATGATCTCAATGTGCAACAAACACTAGTCTACTTAACTCTAATTAAATTAGGCAACTTTGTATATGTTTCTCCTTTATTTATGAAGATAATTGGTATCAAGAAGTAATATCAACTGGAAAACCCTCGACAATCAGTGAGTCATAGAAAGTTATCCCTTCTAAGTAATTTACAGACATGAATCCACATGGATTTTGAATCCAGTGGCCTTCATTAACTGACATCATTT